ACAAATTCGATCAATTTGCTTTATTGATAATCAATTATTTATTGGAGGGGAAGATGGAACAATATATAAAGCAGAATATATTGAAAATAAATATATGATAATGAAAGGTGTTAAAGTTTCTAAACAACCTATTACTTGTATTCAAGCATTTCCAAGGAATGGATTATTATTGTTTGTAACAACACTAAGAATTGGAGCATTAACAACAACACTAGAAAAATTAAAAGTAAATGGGATTGATATTATTGGAAGTGATTGTGCAGTTATTTTAAAAGATAAAAGTGTAATTAAAAGTAGAGTTGATAAATTTGGAATATATTCAACGCAAAGGACATTAACATTTATTGAGTATTCAATAGAAAATGGGTTTGAAAGAAAAATGAATGGAATTGTTTTTGATATGATTCCTCAAACGATTGAATGGGTTGGTGATAGGTTGTATTATATTCAAGGAGACCTTATAAAGTTTGTACGATTATCTGATAGAAAAGTTGGTGTATTAAGAGTAAGAAGAGGAGAAGGTAAAATGAGACCATTTGTTCGTGCTGTTGGAGAATATATATTAATTGGAAATGCAGAGTCATTACAAATTATAGAAAAAAAAGGAACACCTGTTGAAAAAGTAAAAGAAGTATTTCCCACTATGCTAAGTTCATTATTTAATATTACTGTTATATTTCCATTTGTATTATGTTTCTATCCTGATTGTATTAGAATTTATAATTTCTTTACTGGACAATTAGATGATACTATTCGTATTAAAAGTAGTATTGTTAATCAAAATGAAAGAGATGTTGTTGTTTGTTTAAAACAAACAAATGGACCAATTCAATTATTAAAAGCAATAGACTTAATTCAATTTATTAATGAATATATTAAAGCAGAACAATATAATGTTATTAGTCAATTATTAGATAGTTATACTAATGAAATGCAAACAGCATTACCAGTATTAAGTGATGAAGATTTATTATTAGTAAGAGTTGTTTATGGAGGAGTATTACTAGAAAACTATAAATATAATGAAGCATTTGAACAATTTATGAAATGTTCAATTATTAAAACAGAGTCAAAAGTAAGTTGGGACGTTAGAACAGTTATTTCTATATTTGATAATTTAATAGAACCAAATGATAAATTTAAACAATATTCTCCTGTAGATTGGAAATTAATAGAAAATAAAATAGAAGAATCTAAAAGAGTCAAAGAACGTAAATTAGTTTATAATCAATTAAGTGAATTTCTTCAAAGAGTTCAGAAGATTACAAAATATGATAAAGAATTAGAAACTCAAAGGATTAAAGCAATGGTCGTTGCAGAAAGAAGTGATGTTGTTGAAGAAATAGAAAGGGATGAAAGAAGAGGATGGTTTATTGATGTAGACAATGTTCTTAAATTTGTAAAAAATGGAAATGATATAAGAGTTCTTTCAAAATTAAATGTAATGAAAAAAGATTATACTTCTGCACTTAGAATATGGAATAAATTAGCAATGGGAAACGATCAAAGAGTATTTGAATATGGAATTGAAGATGTATTAAATATTATTCAGTTGTTAGATTGTAGTAACAGAGTTCAATTAAGATTATTGAAAATTGTATTAAATTGGTTAATTCCTGAAGTGTTTAATGAATGTCTTTATTTTAAAGGAGAATTTCCACATATTCTTTTAGAAAGATGTAAGTCTTTTGAAGAACGATTAATTAAAGAACAGTTCACTCAAATCTTTTTAAAAAAATTAAATGAAAAAAACCATCAACAATTACTTGATTATATTAATTTATTACATGCAAAATTACATATTATTAAAATAGGTTTATCTAATAAATTTATTGGAGAATGTAAAGAATGTCTTTCAATTTTTATTAATGGATCAATAGAAGTAATTAATAATTTAAATTATCGTAAAGAGTTTCAAGATGAAATGAGTCAAACACTTCAATTTATTCTTCAAAATTCAAAAGCAGTTGAAATGAAAACAATAATTAACTCTCTTCAAAAATATCATATGCAAAAAGAATTAATAGTTGTTTATGAAAGAATGAATCAAGTCGCCGATTTAATTGATGAACTAATGAAAATGGGAGGTATTTCAACAGTACTACATTATTGTCAAAAACATCCAATACATTCAAAAGTTTTATTTGATTATTCCATTTCAAAAAATTTAGAAATATTACCAATTGTAATAGAAACATTAATTGAACATTTAGATATAAATCATGTATTAGAACAATGTATAGAATATAAAATAGATAAACGAATTTATCTTCCTTTAATTTTAAAACGTATTAGAGAATTAGCAAATACTTACCTCTCTCTTCAATTTCAGTACTCAACAATTGTAGCAGATAGTATAAAAGAACCGACTAGGTATATCATGATTAATAAACATTCTGTTTGTTATTTATGTAATGAACATATTTTTAAGGATTTTGTTATATATCAAAATCATACATTCTGTTCTAAATGTTATTCAAAAATGAAAATTCCTCAAAAATTTATATTTTAAATTCATTATCTTTTCTTCTTTAATTTTTTGTGTTATTTAATTTTGGTAATTTAAATAATATTATATTTAATTTAATTTCCTTTATTATTTTTTAATCACTCTATTCTTTTAATAAATTATTTTATCTATTAGACTCAGATGGAACGTCATCTACTGATATTTCACTCATTGTAAATGTGGCCTTTTTTGTATGTGCTGAAATAGGATCCATTGACGACTGGTTGTCATTTGTTGTATCGTCTCCTATTTCAATATTCTCAATTTCCATAGACCTTTCATTACATTGACTCTTATTTGTATTCTGGCTTGATTGTGTGTCAACACGTATTTCTTTATCTCTAGTCATTTGTAGTTGATAATTAACTTCATCCTCTTCACGTGTTATAGCATCTTCAATTGCTTGTTGGTCTTCTTCAATCTCATTTGTTACAAACATCTCAAGATCATCACCTCTTCTTTTTTTCATAACAAATCCTTGTAAAAATTCTGGAATATCATCAACAGATATTTCTTCAATACTATTACCTTCATCATCAGCATCAGTATACACATCTTTTATATAAGTACTACGTTTTTCTTTTTCATTCAATCGTTCAAATATATTAAAATCATCACATGGCATTGTCATATGTTCTCTATGGAATGTACAAACATCTGACTTCTCCCAATCACTTTTAATAAGTTTTTTCTTTAATAATACTTTCTGTAAATCACATAACGAAACCCATTTATTCATAAGTTCTAATTCATTAGTAGAATTTTGTTCTTTTACAAATAAATCTTTAACAACTTTAGAATTAAAGAATATGCTTTTAACTATATTCCATTTATCTTCAAAAACATTTGTTGGCTGTATTCTAATCCCATCAAATGTTGGGTTTTGACATAATTTCCAATGCTGAATAACAGAAGAAATTGATGTAAAACATTCTAAACATTTAAAACATCGAATTGTTGGTTTAGAAGAAGCGTTTAAATCAATAAAAGAAACTCCTTCTTCTAATGGCTCTTTACATATATCAGCAAAATGTCTTTTTAATGACTGTACAATTCTAGGTGGATATTGTAAAAAAATCATTTTAAAAAACTCGTCAAAAGGAGAAGTTTTTCTTAATAAAGGTTGTTGTTGTATTAGTGAATGTAAAAAACAAAAAGCCTTAAAGTGGTATTGGCTATTAATGACTTTAATAAAAAAGTTTTGATGAGGAGGTGATTGAAAGATTTCAGGTGATTGTGATGCTTTATTTAAAAATTGACGAAGGAATATTTTAACAAAAGACATTGTTTGGTGTTGTCTAATTTGTAATAATTGAATAATAATATTAATACTAGATAATAGAAAAGGATCAGATTTTTTAAAGTAGGAACAAACTCCTGGTGGATAATTAACTTTAGACAAGACATGAGCAATCTTAGTAGATTGGTCTTGTCCAAATTTGTCTGAAGTAGTAATTATTTGATTAATAGCAGAATCAATCATTTTTTCAGGTTGCATAATAGTAATGTCAATAAGGAAATCAAAATATCCTTTAGAAATAATTAAAGGAAGTGATCGGATAATTTCCTTATGAAAAGAAGAGAATAATGAGTTAAAATGATAAAAACAATTTAATACTAACCTCTTTAATAATTCTTTTCCTCCTAAGTCTAACAAACCAATAAAAAAACTACTATCAAATGGCAATGTTGTAAATCCAGATTCTGAATATAAGTCACTTAAGTTCTGAATAAATTCTACATTATAAATGTTGTCAATAAATAGTTTTACTTCTTTCATAAGAAAAAGATTTTGAAGTTGTGTTTGTGATGTAGCTGCACGTAAAACTTCTGCTAATGTATTTTTGAATTGACTATCATGACTAGTATCTAATAAAACCGGAGTTGTAATTGAATTATCTGTATTCGGTATTTTTAATATCGAAGAAATAGGACAAATGGCTAATGGTTAATAAACACTTAATAAAATCAATTTTAAACAAGACAAAATCAAACTATTGGGTATTATATCCATTAAAATAAGGCTTAAAAGTTTCTTTCCTTTTTTATTTTTTATTTTTAAATAACTCAATCTTTCTTTTGTTATATATAACGAAATAAATAACCATATTTTTTTGATATTTACAAAACAATATCATTTAAATTATTGTTTTGTAAATTCAAAAGAAGAATAAATTTAGATAGATATAAAAACCCGAAAAAATACGGATAATAAAGGATTCTTTTTGTAGTAAGAACTATGAAATCTTGATATAAAAAAAAAGGATAAAATCTCTAAAATCATTCAAATAAAATGTTTAAACGGTTATTAGGAAGTAACAAACAACCAAAAGAAGTAGGAGATATTCTTGTCTCTTCAGCAGACATTCAAAAAGGAGATCTCATTTCTAAAAATGGACCACATGGTGATGTCTATCGATGTTTATTTAAAAAGACTAAAGCAGTTGTTAAGTTTTTCTCAAAAGCTGACTCAAGTCAAAAGTCTTTTAAAGAAGAAACAGAAACTTTAAAAAAAATATTCCATCCAAATGTTCTTTTGATTATGGGCATAATAGCAGAAAAAGGAATAACTGGTGTTATCATGGAGTCTATGAGATGTAATTTATATAATGTCCTTTATGAACCAACTAAATGTCCAAAAGCACTTCAAAAAATTAGTAGATTAAATAAATTTAAAATTCTCAGAGATATAGCAGTTGGACTTGCTTTTATTCACTCTCTTGCAAAAATTCCTCATGGAAACTTAAAATTAACAAATATTCTTTTTGATGATTCAGGTAAAGTCAAAATCTCTGATTATTTCTATTCTAATTTAAGAACACCAGTTAAAGTAAATGGTTATTATGTATGTTCTCAAAAAGGTAATAATGCTTATCAAGCACCTGAGGTTTGGTTAAATGGAACTTTTCCAAATGCTGCTTCAGATGTTTATTCATTTGCTCTTATTACAATAGAATTTATGGTTGAAAATAATTCTTTTTATGGAGACTATGATACAGCAGATGATAAATCTATTTTTACTGCTATTCAAAAGAAAGTCAAAGTTACTATTCCTCAGTCATTCAGTCAAACTCATAAAGTTATTCTTGGCAGGTGTCTCAATTATGAACCAAAAAATAGACCATTAATGGAAAGTGTTCTTGCTGCTTTTGATCAAATAGTTGTTGAATCAACTATGACTTCAGTAGATGCTATTGAATTTTGGTCAGATAGATTTTCTGATGGAGACGTTCCATTGTTTGAAGTATCATATGATGACGTTATGTTTGCTTTAGATGAAACTGTTTTAAGTGATTGTGATGAGAACGTCAAGAATGAAATTAAAGAAGACTTGGCACCTCTCTTCCCTGCAAATGGAATTGTTACTGCAGTTGATTTTGATACTGTTGTTTGTTGGTTTGGTGAATTCTTCAATGATCCAAAAATTATTGATGAAATGAGAGACATTGTTTCTGCTTCTTATTTTAGTGGACTTATTGACAAAAAAGTTGCTGAAGGTAAACTTTCTGGAAAAGTTGATGGAACATATCTTATTAGAATGTCATTTACAGATGCTAAAAAAAATCCCTTCACTCTCACAAGAAATGTCAATGGTTCACCAAAACATCATAGAATTGAAAGACTTTCTTATGCATTCGTGCAAGCTAGATACCAAATCACTATTGATAATAAAAAAATTACTGCTCAAACACTTAGCGGTTTGATTGAAGCACTTACTAAAATGGGACTTATTGTTAATCCTGATGATGGTGTTGAAAATTCTGATTATGGAGAAGCCTAATTCATCTTCTTTATTTGTTTTTTTAACTTTGGAATCAACATAAAAAGACAAAAGTACGAAATCTCTCAAATCTGTTTTGTTATAGAATAAGTGAAATATACGAGAATATAATGAATAGAAATAGATAAAAAATAGAGGTTATTTAAGTAGTATAAAAGAACAAAAAAGATTTATTTTTTTAATTATTTTATGTGAAAATTTAATATTGTATAAAGTAAGGAAATCAATTAAGAAATAGTTATAAAATGATTAAATTGAGAAATGAATGATTAAATTTTTCAATATTTTTTATTTTAATTGAAAATTGTGTTTTAAATAGTTTGTATTTTGTGTTGGTATTAAAAAAAAAAAAGAAAAAAAAAAGAAAAAAAAAAGAAAAAAAAAAGATTTAAATAAAAGAGAAATAGAAGAAATTAAATTGAAATAATAAATTTTTATTTGATTGATTTTATTTATTTAGAATATAATGAATTAATTTTTATTTATTCTTTTTGTTCTTTTGATTTATAGATTTATTTATTTTTATTTTTTCTGATTATAATTTCTATTATTATTAGATATTTAATTTCTTATTTTAATAATTTGATTATAATTGTATTATTTGTTTTTGTATTTGTTATCATTACTTATTTTCTTTTTCTTTTTATTTGATTGAACTAAGTTATTTATTTGTTTCTTATTTGTATGACTAAATTTATGTTTCATCATTTTTATTCATTTTATTTCATCACAATTAATTGATTTCACTTTGAGTTTTGATTGGTGAGTTCTATTTTATGATTGTTTTATCATTATTCATTTATTTTGATTATTTCTTATTTCTTTGTTTATTATTGAGATGTTATTTATAATTTAGATTTAGTACTTTCATTATTATGTTTTTTCTTCTTATTCTTTCGTTGTTTCTTTTATCTCCTTGTGTTGTATTCTATATTTTGATATTACACTTGTTTCAATACTCACTTCTTCTTATATGTTTTGTTCTCTTTGAAATACTCTTAATTATCTTTATTATTTGACTTTCATTCTTTAATTAAATCACCTCTCATCAAATAAACAGTTCAGCTGATAACTTATTTATTTATGAAATAATCATTCCTTTATTTATTTATCAATCTTCACATCACATGAAATAATTATTTCTTATATTTTTTCTTATTCATTCCTGTTATTCCTTTTTTTTTTCATTCTTTCTTTTTTTCTTATTTTTCCATTGAAATTATTAATAATTTCATGTTCAAAATATTAATTTATTTATCAGTTGGAAAATATTTTTATTATTCCTCATAAAAACTATAAAATCTTCAAATGGAAAATAAAAAACCAAGAACATCTACTCTTTCAGTAGAAAAAATAAGAACAGCCATTAACAAAGAATTTAAAACATGCCAAGACGTTGTAGAATTTTTTATCAGCCAAGAGAAAGAAAGAACAAACAAAGAGATAAACAAAGGAGTTGGTACTGGATATGGGATTGCTCTGAAATCTTTCTATAACAAAGTACATTCATTGGGTCTTACAAAAAGATCTTTTGAAGAATACTTTCAATGGTTTATTGCTGGATTAAAAAATGTAATGAATAAATTAATCACTAACAATGATGGGACATTAGAAAAGAACCAATCAACTATTTATATTCCAATTTCAGAATCTGGAATACCTTCAACAGTTCAAATAAAAAGGTGGGAAGTATTTGGGATATTAGCTTGTTCTTTCTTTAATGTTCAATGGGAAGATAAAGTAGAACGTATTGGAAATATTTCTTTAGTGTACATTTCCACAAACAGTCGTGTTTCTATTGAAAGACTTATTTGTATTTTTGCCTATTTCCATGTGATGATTGAAATAGACGAAAAAACACTTCAAGAAATTGTTACGTATGAACGGGTTATTCAAAAAACATCATATGATTGGGAACACAATGAAACTCCAATTAAAACATATCCTTTTGTCAGTGGAGGTTTAGAAATGTCAGAAATGAATGTCCATGTTGATTTTGCTAATAAATATCTACAAATCCATAAAATAGTGCCGAGTGTAACTCAAGAAGAATTACTTTTTAGTGTTAGACCTGAATGTTTTATTTCTTTGATATTATTTGAAGTTTTATTAGATAATGAAGCAGTACTCATAAAAAATACACTTCATATTAGTTTGAGTGAAGGATATCAACAAACATTTAAATGGATAGGTTTTTGTAAAAAACAAACATTAAAACAACAAAATACAATTCTAGCTATTGACTCAGTAATTAATACATGTTTTGGAAAAGAAAATATTGATAGAGACTTAAATAAGTGTATGGTTGGATTTCAATACGCTGGTAATAAAATTGCTACAGGCCAATGGGGTTGTGGTTCATTTGGTAATGACCCATTATTAAAAATGGCACAACAATATATGGTTCTTTCAACTTTAGGATTTGAAGCTTCAATACATTGGATGAACTTTGCTCGATATAACGAATTAAATGATTATATGGAAATTTGTAAAACCAAAGGAATGACAATAAAAGATGTCTATTATATTCTTTGTTCATTTGACGGCGATAAGAATACATTTGTTGATTATTTTAAACAACAAATCCAATCTTTCCATAAATAATTAATAATTAAATTGGTTTTCATTATTATCAAAAAAAACTTTCAAATAAAACTTCAACTAAAAATGTTATCTTAAAACTAAAGAAGTTTATACAAAAAAAAATCACTTATAAATTTGATTTAAAACTAAGCGTGTGGAAACATTGGTTGACATTGTTGATGAGGTGGTTGTGCATTAGTTTGTCCTGGTTCTAATGGTGGTTGTTGGACTTGTCTTATTCTTTGCCTACACCTTTCACACCCATCAGCAATTTCAATTAATTGACAATTAATTCTTAGAACATCATCATATTGTTTTTTTAATTCACTTAATTGCTGTTGAAGAGTAACAAAAGCTTCTTTACTTTTCTGTCTACTTTTACGAGCACTTTCTTTATTTTTTAATTTTCTTTTAATTTTATTTAATGTAGCTTTTTCAGTTTTAGTTATGGTTCTTCGATCTTTAAGTTCATTAACATAATCTTCAAATTCTTCAACAGTCATTGAAGCTAAATCCTCTTCTGAGAGGAGTTTTTCATATGTAATGTTTTGAAATTTTCTCTTTCTACGATGTAAAGGGGTATAAGCTTGATCACTAAATTGAGACTGAGAAGTATTTGGAAATTGGGGTTGTTGTGATGTTGGAGTAAATTGAACCACCTGAGGAATATAAGGTGAAAAAGATGGATATGTAGGGTATTGAGATGTTCCTGTAGAAAAAGAATTTTCTTGTCTTATAGGATTTGGAGAAGAATAACCAGAATAAACAGAATCTTCAGGGGAACCAGATGTTACCTCCTGTTGTTGATGATTTGGATCCATTTTCCTGTGATTTTTAAGATTTAAAAAAAATTTTAAGATTATTATTGTTATAATTAATAATTCTATTTAACCATCATTTTTGTTTCTTTACTATCAAACACTACCATTCATATTTTCATTTCTTTTTGTCTTATAAGTACCTATGTTTTTGTCGTATGATCTATCATTATTAAGTTCACTTCATACTCATCAACAGCTGAACTACACGTTAGCATCACGCGTCTACTCACGTGTTAAATAAAAAATGACATATATAACAATATAATACTTAATTAATTTGAGTAATATCGTAAAGTTGTTGTAATTTAATAACTATTTCGTTAATGCTCAAACGTTCTTTAGGATTTTGTGCCCATGCCTGTTCAATTAATTCAAAACATCCTGGATTAACTTTTTCTGGACAATCTAACCTATTTCCATCAGCAACAAAATTAGCTATTGACCATGGGTATTTAAAGAGGGAACCTTGATAAGGAGCATCCCACATAAGTATATGAAGCATAGTAACAGCAAATGAGTATACATCTGCAGGCATTTTATATTTATCTTTTTTTAATATTTCTGGTGCCATATAGACAGGTGTTCCAATTCCTTTTGTGAATGTCATATTTGTCATTAACATGTTAATATTTCTAGAACTACCAAAATCAGTCAACTTACCATTAATTTCAACATTTTTTTCTAAAGAAATAGCTAAAATGTTATCAGGTTTAATATCACGATGTAATATTCCATTTGAATGAAGATATTGAATTCCTTTAGCAGCGTCTAAACAGAATTTAATTTTCAATTTCTCATCAAGTGGATTGCCTTTCATTCTTTTTTCAATTAAATCAGATAATGAACCATATTCTGCAAATTCAGTTACAAGACATAATTTATTTGGAATCATTACAGCACCATAAAAATGGACAATATATTCATTTCTAAATTTTTCTAACATTGATACTTCATCTTTAAATTCACTAATCATATTTTCTAATACTTGTAATTTTTTTAATTTTTTAATTGCTACTTTGTTTCCTTTAAAGTTTCCAAGAAAAACAACTCCAAATGACCCTTCGCCTATTAACCGTTCTTCAACTATGTCATTAGGATTTAGCCGACAACTAACTTCAGTCATACAATCAAGTGAAACAGTTTCTGTATATCGTTTACCAGTTGATAAATTATCAATAAGTATTTTAAAAATACCAATAAGATGTACAGAACAATGTGGATTTACGAAAACTTCAAGTTCACACCCTTCCTTTTTTTTCAAAATGACTTGAGGTGGATTTGTTCTTATTGAATAATTTTCATTTGAATTATCTTCTGCAAGAAGTGATATTTGAATTGGGTGTTTTGATCTATTTGCTATACATAGTAATTCTCTAGTCTCTTTATTCACAGGAATTTCTGTTGTTTCTGTATCAAATGTTAGTACTTTTTTATTAACTAAAATAGGACATTTCCCATTTAATTCAATCCAATGAATATTTGAATGTTTAATTTCAAAATGGGTGTATGTCTTTCTTGCCTTATTTTGGAGATTCTTTTTATTAATATACAATAATATTTTATACAATCCAAAGATAACTAAGATAAGTACAGTTACAATGATAAAAATTAATAATATCACAATAACTAATACAACCCACCAAACAGGATGTTTTTCACAAGACAAACCATCATTACTTGGAGTATACCAAAAAGTACATGAAAGACAAACAGAATTAGATGCTTCTATACAACCTTTTACTTGGTTATAATTTATACAATAACCCTCACTTGTTAAAATATAATTATATTCACAACCTTTACATCGTTTGTTAATTTGATTACATTCACTGCAATGTTCATTCACTTCAGAACATAAATGACATGTTAAATTTTCTAAATAATAACTAGATTCACAAAGGGTACATCCTTTATTAGTGATTTCTTTACAATGAGTTAATTCAGATATTGGAGAACATCCATAAGTAATATTTTTATAAAAATTTTTACTACATTCAGAGCATCCATTGTTCTTAATACATTTTTTACAATTATCAATACATGCTCGACATAACGTTCCATCTCTATAATACCCATCTTCACATTGTAAACATTTGTCATTAGAATGTGGAATTGTTTGTTTACAATTTTCAATACTTTTAATAACACTAATACATGAATTTTCTTGAAGACTAAATCCTTCATTACATTCATAACATATATCAGCAGATTTAACACATTTTTTACATGGATAATAACAAGCATCACAACTCCCATTCTCATTTAAAAAATAACCATCAGAGCAAATAACACACCTTCCTTTATTATATTCCTTGCAATTATTTATTGTTTGTGTTAATTGGCATACCCCATCATCAAAACTTGAATCTAATTTTAAATATGTAGAATCTTCACATAACGAGCATTTTCCATTTATTGTACATAAACTACAATTACTTCCACATGAAACACAATTAGACCCATCAAAATATTTATCAAAGTCAGTACAAACAACACACTTACTATCAACAGTTGTTTTACAACCAATAGACCCTATTGATTGACAACTCTTTCCATTTACAATTACTTTTCCTTCAGGACATTCTAAACATTCAACAGTTTCTGTTTTATCATCATACAAACATTTGGAACAATCATCTTCACAAGAAATACAAGACCCCTCTTTGAGATAAAACCCATCTTTACAGTCAATAACCTGTTTATTTGTAATTTGATTTGTTGATTGTTTTAATTCACATTGGTCATTATTTTTTATATAACTATTATTTACACTACAATGGGTACATACATCTGAAGAAGAACAAGTATCACATCCATTAGGACAATTAACAGAACACTTTTCCATAGAAGGCTCTTGAGTTTTACCAGGAGGACAAACTAAACATACTCCATTATTCATATATTTACAGTTACTTGTTTCAATACATTTTGTTCCACTTACGATATAATTGTCAAAACATAAAAAACATTTTTCAGAATTACAAATCTTACAATTTGATGTACATTCATTACAAGAATTTCCAGTAGAAAAAAAGCCTTCTTCACAACGATCACATAATCCATTCTTACGATACAATTCACAATGTTCTATTGTTGTCATAGGTGCAATACACTCCCCATCTTCTTTAGTTAAATATCTACATATTTTACATTCAGAATTTATATTTGATAATAACCCAGTTTTGCATAACCCATATGAACACACAACTGCATTATTTGTTGAAATAGTTATACCTAAAGAATTGTCAACAAATAAAAGTACTGGAGAAAGAGAATTTACAATAATTGAAGATGAATCTCCAATTGATTCAATAAGAACAGAGTTAAGAATACCATCAATAGTAAAAGAGTTAGAAGCTTTTATTACTAATTCATGGTATGAAACATGAAGAGTAGATTGTCTTAAAAGAGTAATCAAATTATATCTTTCATCAGACTCAAATGAATATGAATTTACTGAATCAATAATAAGGTAAGTTGATACTATTGAATTAAAATGACCTGGACACGAGTAATCATACAAACCATTTTCATCTAAATAAGAATTATCTATTTGAGGAATACATACCTTATTTGTTAATCCAATTACAGAACAAATTAAATCACTTCCTGTTCCAATTACAATAGCTTGTTTATCACAAATGAAATTTATATTATTAGAAGAATGTAAATTAATCTTACGATATTTAGTTATAATAAAATTAATTGATATTGAATTTGGAATAGAAGGAATTTTAATAATATTTAATGGAGTTGTTGAATGATCTATTTTTATAAACATTAAGTTAGGATCTTTCAATGGATTGGCAATAGAGTCAATATCAATTGTAGAAACAGAGTTTGAAATAATAATTTGATTTACTACATTTACACTTCCAAAGATTAAGTCTCCTTTGTTTACTTCAATTTGTTTAACATCTACATTTAACCTACTGGTTGTTTGAATTAATCTTGAAATAAAAATATTACTATCTGATTTTAATGTACTTGTTCCTAATATTTGAAGTTCTTTAATTGAAGCATAATTTATTGTTTTAAGTTGACTATTTTGATTTAAAATAGTTTGAGATTGAGAAAGAACAGTAGTAGAGTCATCAAATAATAATGATCCATAAATGTTTATTATTTCAATTAAAACATTGGTATTTGTTGGTGATGATATTGTGGCTGTACTCTCTTTATCAACAATAAGTTCAGTAACTCTTAACTCTCCATCATCAGAAATACTAATTACAGAATTTCCTGAAATAGTTAAAATATTGCATTGAAGTATTCCAAGTATTGTTATGGATTGTTCAACAGAACATGATTCACTTGTGATTGAACCTTTAATAAGACTATTTGAATATTTTATCACAAATGAATTCCAATAAACATTTTCTTTATCATAAACATTATTGTTTAAAATTAAATTAAGTATATTTGTGTAAACCTTACTGACTGTTTCACAGTCACTCAGATCATATTGGTCATTAGAATAAGTGCATTGACAATCTATCGTTGATGTAACTTTCACATACCTTGTAAAATTTCCATTGTTACACCCAACTCGAATTGTATCTGGTATCCCATTTGATTTATAATATCCAATAAATAAAATTGAATCAGTAATAATTTGACTTACATCTATATCAATTGCACTCCATTCTCCAAATACATGAGTCATATCAAAATTTACAGTTGGAATAATTAATTCATTGAAATGAACATCGTTACTAATAACAATTCTTTTATTTGGTAATGTAGTTGTTCCAGTTAAATTAATATGTTGATTATTTTCTATTGTTAAAGGAAGTGTTCTAGATTCAAATATAAATGAATTCCATTGATATCCTTTAGTAGAATCAAGTTTAATAATTGTTTGATTTGCAAAAATAGTTAAATCATATAAACTACTGTTATGTAAACAATCAGGAAAAACCATTCCAAAATTAATAACTGATGCTGTTGATGTTGTACTTGGAATATAACACCTACAATCATTTTTTATTGAAAGAGTTGTATTTTTACACATTACATATCTTTTTAAATTGGGCTTTGAACAAACTTCATAAAAAGTACAACCACTTTGTGCATCATAAACATTTATATTACCATTTGTATTGAAAGCATAACTACATCCATTATGAATATTTCTTTTATTAACATATAATTCTCTCAAAGTATTTGTTGTTGGTATTACTTGAAGATTAAGATATGGTCTATTAGTATAACTTTGATATCTGATATAAAAACGTTCATGTCCATTTCCAATTATGACTGCTGGTGTATTGTAAACATAAATGTTATTATTAATCCCACTCACAGGAATAGAACTTCGTTTAAATATACCAACAAACCCTTCTTTAATATTTCTTAAATAAATAGAAAAGTGTTTATCAGGTTGAGAAGGATACATCCATACAGTTTGGATTTCAGTTCCTAAAACAAAATCAACAGCCTTTTCAGCCTCATTACTTCCTGGATAAATTTTATAATAAGTTTTATTTTCTCCACAACACCCTGAATTAAATTGAAACCAATCAATATTATTATCATAATATTGTGTAAAACCAATAAACTTTCCACAATTAGTAGATGTTCCCCATCGAATTTCATTATCATTGCTAACATACCAACAATCTCCATGAACAAAAAAAGGAGTAATACAAATGAAAATGATAAAAAAAGTCATGGAGTTCAAGTGATAATTAGAAATTCCATTTCTTTGTTTATTTTTTCTTTCTTTCTTTCCAAAAAGTAATGAATTTTCTGGCTCAAACTTTTCACCTTTCTTTTTATGAAAAATAAATAAACTATTAATACAATTTATCTTTTTTTTTTTTTCTCATTACTTTTTTTCTCTTTTTTCAATTTAAAAAGAGAAAATAAAATAATAACAGCATTATTCTATTAAAGAGGTAATTAGTGAATGATTAAATAATTTCTCAAACGTCAACCGTTCTTTTTCTTCAAATACTAACATCCTTTTAACTAACTCTATTTTTGAATGAAATTGTTCATTTGAAAGAATAGATTTAGGGAACGAAAGAATTTTATTTGTTGAGTAGGAAGCTTTTACCTCATCTTCAGTTTGTCCAAATGGAAGTTTATTTGTAAGAATCCTATAGAAACAAACTCCTAATGGATAGATGTCATGATTAATTGAAAGTGGTAATCTATGACTTGAATTAAAGTCTTTTGACTTACCTCTAATTAAAATTGATTCATTAGAAAATGAACGACAATTTCCAAAATCAGATAATATAAGTCTTGGTTTTGTAACAGAGCAATCTACCATAAAATTTTCTGGTTTGATGTCACCATGGATAAATTCTTTTTGAATTTGAAGATACTTTATAGAAATAATCATTTCATTAATGAAATGATTCATTTCCTCATTTGTAAGACGTTGTTTTAATTGTTTCCTTTTGTTTAAATATTGATCAAAATTACCACTTTCATAATAATCAAGTAATAAATATAGTGATTTTTGTGCTTTCTGTTTGAGATGCTGAAGTTGAGAAGAGATAGAATACCAAGATGATGCAATTCCATAACATTTGATGATTCGTTGATTATTACATTGTTTTAATACAATAAACTCTTTTTCTATTTCAACTTTCTTTGAACAGTCTGTTTGTTTTAAGGCATAAATCTTTCCATTGTATCTTACTTTTATAATGGTCCCATAAGCTCCGTTTCCAACAATAATTAATGGAATGCATTTTCTTAAATCAAATGAATCAAATTGATTTTCTTGTAACGCTTGCTGAATAATTTTTAATTGTTTTATTTCTATTAATTTTTTTATCTTAATAGAATTAATGATATCACTAAACTGTGTTGATTTAAATAAATTAATAATATCAATAACACTTTCTTGTAATCTTCTTTCGTTTAAAATACCATTTAAAAAGCTAATAGGAGTTACTTTAAAAGTTGGTCTAAAATCATTTGCTTCTGAACAAACAAAAATCTCGTTTAGTTTAAGATTAACTTTTAATTTCATCTGCTCGATATTATTACACATGTTAATAAAACAAGCTATATGACTACGTTCTTCTTCTTCCTTTATTAGAACATTTTTTAAATATTTTTCACAACTTATTGATTGACAATTTTCACAAACAATCCAAATTTCCTTTGACCCATTAAAAGTCCCACTAATAACACTTTTTACTGGAAGAAACCATTGGTAGAAATTTTCCCAATTCTTCATTTGACTCAATAAACAAACCATTTTATTTTGAATATCTTGTGAGTACTTTTGAATGTTATACCTTATAAGTACACTATCTTTTCCATCTTTTTTTGTTACCCAAATCAGTTGACATGAAATGGTATGTTCTTCGTTGGAATAGAATAAATGAGGATCGACATAGGCAAATTGTTCAGTTAAGTTTAATTCAAAACGTTGCATTTCAAACCAAATAACAAGATTTAACCTTAATGAATCACATTTTATTTTCCAAAAAAATTTAACAAAAAAATTTTTATTTTAACGAAGTTGATTAATTTGTACGGATCAATTAAACATAGAAGCAACAACTCTCTTTGGAATTGGTTTTTCTTCATCAGAAACAGCATCAAATAATGTAAAGTTACGTTCTAAATTCTCATTTACTTTCATAATAGAAGCAATATTACCACAACGTGAACAATAATTTGGTGCAGACCACACAGTGACCAATTTATTTTCAAATTGATATTTATATCCTTCCATAACTAATTGATGTGCACGAGCAATCAACTGTATATTGTTAATTTGACAAAACTCATCAACTGGTTTCTTTCCAAAAAGATATCCAGCTCCTCTAGAACTTACTCTCATTCCTTTTTCATTCTCTTCAGGATCAGACCACATTAAATCACAGAATGATCCTTCATGTGGGACCTCTTCATTACGATCAATACAATATCTAATTTGATCAATAGTTCTTAGTGTTGGTGAAAGTCCTCCATGGACACAATAAATAGAATTATCAATAACAGCCGCAACATTAAAATAATCAAATACATCCATGAAAATAGTCCAAGCAGCAGGATTACCATATTTTTGAATGCACTCATCATAAAATCCATAGTCTTGAGTAATCATTCTTGTTTCGTGATTCCCTCTTAACAAATGAATTCTATCTGGATATTTTACTTTATGTAATAATAAAAATGTAATAGTTTCTATTGAATAGATTCCTCTATCAACATAATCACCCATAAACAAATATTGTACATCTGGAATATTTCCTCCAATTTCAAAAAGTCGTAATAAGTCATAGAATTGACCATGAATATCTCCACATACTGTTACCGGTGTTTTAATTTCAAGAACATTCGATTCTAATGCCATAATTGCTTTTACTGTAAAACATAGTTCTAATAAATCATGTTCACTTAGAATATCACCACCTTTCACTTGTTCTATACACTTATCAATATCCATTCTCTTTTATTACTCCTTTTATAAAGTTCTTTTTAAGTTCTTCTTTTTCACTTTTTTGAATTTTTAGTGTTTTTTCAAAGAATGAAAAAACTAAGAAATAGAAATTTTGTCAAGAATAACAAAAATCAATCAATGTAATTTCACAATGGATATTCCATTTACAGCATTTTCTGTTTTATTCCAATCACCTAATCTGTACCTCTTTCCTATTGCACAAACTATGGCTGAGTGGTCTTTTGTTACGTCAATAGAATTAACACATCCCCCAACATTAACCTCACCCAAAAGTTCTAATGAAAGTGTTTCTGAAGATTTAAATGAAGAAGGAATGTTTATTTTCCACATTTTTACTATTCCTTCTACACCTCCACTGAAAATAACATCACTGTATTGAATGGTACATAATGCTGTGACTTGTTTATGTGCTGCTTCTAATATATATTTTGGTGTTTTCTTTGATACTATGTAAACTGACAATGTTCCATCAAATGATCCAGCAATATAAGTTGTTTCATTTAATAAACTTACACATTCAATTTCATTATAAGCATTATAAATTAATTGAGACTCTTCTGATACTTTAAAGATTCTTATAGACTTATCAGATGAGCCAGTTACACATCGTTCTTTAGATAATGCGTCAATACAATTAATATTTGAACGATGTCCATACAATGTATCCATTAAACTAATATTTTCAATGTTCCATACTTTAACACTTCTATCATAACTACAACTATATAATTCATATGTCCCATCTCTAAAAACACATGAAGTAACAATGTCTTGGTGACCTTTAAGTGTTCCAAGTAATTGATTATTAGAAGAATCATAAATAAGTATATGATGATTTTTAGTTGTAGCTACAATATATTTATTGTCATGACTAATTGCCAATGATAATATTTCAGGTCTTATTTTTGTTTTATCAATACAAGGAACAGTGAGTTCTCCACAATATTGATTATTAATTAAATCATAAATCATGATTTTACCATTTAATGATGCTACATACACTTTATTTTGTTCATTTTTATTTATTTTAACAGCAGTACATGCTTTATTTAAATGTCTTGTTGTTTTAGTTATAACTGTAGAACTTAAATGAAGATCATCTGAAACTGATGTCTGTTTTTTACTTTGATCAATTGATTCATTAAATAATGTTTCTAATACACTTTTAGGTTTTGTCTCCTCATCAGTAATTCCAACCATTAATCGTTCATGTTCTTTTTTAATATCTTCAATATGTTTTTGAGCCATAGAAAGTCGTTGTTTATCAGTATCTTCATTACTATGATTGTATTTGAATTCAGTTTGAATACGCTCAACTCTTTTTTGTGGTTTAGGTTTTTCAGTTGCCAATCGTTGTTTGAATGGTACAAGAAAAGGGTCACTCATAAATGTTCAAACACTTGATATTAACAGTTCGCAACAAATAAACTTGTTGTCTTTCATTATTTTTGTTATTTCTTTTTAAAAAACCCTAATTTTTTTTAAAAGGAAAATCTGAAAACATAATTTTAAATTCTGTTATTTAAAACATAAATAAACTATCAACGTGGCGTTGTGTTGTAAAACAAAAAGAATGAAAATGCACCACGTCAGACTTTGAAATAAAAGACATGAAGATGAAGGAAAAGTCATTTAATGAATACAGAAACTGAAAAGAAGTGTGAGTGTGGACATTGTGAATGTGAAGAAGAACACTGTGAGTGTAAAGGAGAACATTGTGGATGTGGAGAAGGACATTGTGAATGTAAAGAAGAACATTGTGGATGTGGAGAAGAACATTGTGGGTGTAGTGAAGAACATTGTGGATGTGAAGAAGGACATGATGAAGAAGCAATGGAAGAAGAAGTTGAAGAAAGATTTCCAAAGACAGTTGAAGTAGAAGGAACTGGATATGAGAAACCAACTGATGACTGTTTGTGTACAGTTGATTATACAATGTTAGATGGTGACAGAGTTGTTGAAGAGAAAAAAGATTTTAAATTTAAAGTTGGAGATATACCAGTGATTTGTGAAGGATTTGAAAAAGGTGTTGAATCAATGAAACTTAATGAAAAGTGTACATTTACTCTTAAAGCAGAAGATGCATTTGGAAGTTGTGGAGATAAAGAAAGAAACATTGAGCCAAATAAAGAGATTACATTTAAAGTTACACTTAAAGGAATGGAACCTGTTCCAACACCATTTACAATTGCACCAGAGAATATAGTTAAACATGCAGAAGAAAAGAAAGCACAAGGAAATGAAATGGTCAAAAGAAAGTTACAAAAGAGAGCATTAAGATGTTATTTAAGAGCACTAGATTATCTTGATAATGATTATAGAATTCCAGAAGATCAAAAAGAAGCAGCTAAAAAGATTCAAACAATATTATTTGGAAATGTCTCAGCAATGCATCTTCATTTTAAAGAATATGATCAAGTTATTGAATATACAGATAAAGTTCTTGCTGTAGATGCTGAAAATTTAAAGGCATTATTAAGAAGAGGAAAGGCTTATTTGGAAAAAGGACAAATAGAAAAAGCTGAAAGTGACTTTAATAAAGTTCTTTCTATTGATCCAAATAATAAAGAAGTTAAAGCTGAAATGAATGGAATTAAAAGAAAGAGAATGGAAGAAGAAAAGAATGATAAAAAAAGATATGCTAAAATGTTCAGTGTATTAGGTTCACTAAGTGAGGTTGATGAAGAACAAAAGAAATTACAGGAAGCACAAGAGGCACAACGTAAGAAAGAGTGGGAAGAAATTAAAAAGAAACAAAAAGAAGAAGAAAAAAAGAAAGAAGAAGCAAAGAAAATGGAAGAAGAAAAACCAAAAGAAGAGTCTAAGAAAGAAAATATTCCAATGGAAGAAGAAAAAAAAGAAAATTAAATTGATTGATATTTCATTAATTTATTTTTATTTATCTTCCTATAACTTAGTTCAATCAAATAAAAAGAAAAAGAAAATAAGTAATGATAACAAATACAAAAACAAATAATACAATTATAATCAAATTATTAAAATAAGAAATTAAATATCTAATAATAATAGAAATTATAATCAGAAAAAATAAAAATAAATAAATATATAAATCAAAAGAACAAAAAGAATAAATAAAATAAAGAAGTTAATTAAGTATTAATAGAACTTGTGTCTATTGTTCCTGCCTCACCGGAGACTAATACCATCCCTGAGTCTTCGTCTTGTAGTTCAACTACATATGTTTGGTTGTGATCGAAACAGTGCTCCATGACGTCCATCATGTTTTTAATTACAATGTTTTTGATTTCTTTAGTGATGTCTATTTCGATTTTTAATTGTTTGATTAATTTAATACTTTCCGCATTTACTAGCCCATTAATCGAAATTACTACTGGAATTATTTTGACATCTTTTAATTTCTCTATTTTCATTAGCCTATTTTTCAATTCCTTGTACATATTTCTTTTCTTCCAATAGGCTCCATTAATATTATGATCTGCCACAATAGTCATATCAAATATTAGACCAGTTTTATTCTTTTTATCTAGTACATATATATCTGGTCTTTTATGATATAGTCCATCACTTTTTGGCATTATTTGTTTATTCAATATCATAGTGATGTCATTGTATTGGAACACTGTTTCATATGGGGGTTTCTTGTATTGTTTATTTCCTGTGTATTTTCTTATTAACCCCTCCCATATGATGATGCCAATATGGTCATGTTTCTCCATCTGTGATTTTTTATGACCAATACAAGATAGTAGAATGTGTTCTACTGTGGCTATCTTGTATTTACAAAGTGGGCAGTACTTCAATCTTTCATTTTTTAATATTTTATTTTTCCTGTACCCACTAAATATTACTCCATCTTGCATTTTAGTTAATTGAAGGAATGCATTTTTCTTTATATTGATGGACTTCCATGCATTGATTGTAGTAGTTTTATCTACAAATTTTGACTCGAACCATCTTCTAAAATGTCCACTTGTTTGATTTCCATTTTTTGATGTATTGGTCGGTCATTAATTTCTTTATTTTTACTACTACTTCTTTTTCTTTTTTATTTTCAATAAATTCATTTATTATTTCTTCTATTTTCGTTTCTGGGATTTTATGACTTAGTGCTTTTTTAATTCTATTCCATATTCCTTTCTTGGAATACCATCTATCTAATATGTTATTTCCTATTTCGCTTTCTCTTGTACAATAGTACATTACTGTTCTGATTAATTCAATAACATATTCGTCCCTTAGGCTTATTAATCCTTCACCCATTTCATTTATAGGGACATATAGACGGTCTTTGGAGTTACACCAATGTATTTTGCCTTTCTTAAATATTTTCTTATCTCCAAATCCATTGTATCTATGTCAGTTACCTTCCAATTTACTACTGATGCTGAATATCTTCAGATTGGTATTACTTCAGTATTAATTCTTGTAATATAACTTCTATTACTACTTTCATCAGTATTTATCTCTTCCATTTTCATCATCATCTTTTCTTTGATGATTTTACAATTGAAGGTGTCATTAATTTCATCGGACTGCCATACACCTAAATATTTATACAAGTCCTCTCCTTCAATTAATGTGATGTTTTGCATTCCATCTGGTATTTTATTAATGTTCTTTAATACCATTCCTGATTTATTTTCATTTCCATCCCTATTCCACTTATTATTTCTTTAATTTCATTGTGGATTGTTCCCATTTCTTCACTATTTGTGTCATTATTCTCAATTCATCCATATACAATGTATGGTTTGATTTTGGGAATTTCTCTTCTATGATTTGAGAAATTATATTCATTTTGATGATGAAGAGTAGAGGGGATAAGGAATCACCTTGTAAAATTCCTCTCTTCAGTTTAATACATCCTAGATATTCATTATATTTATATCCTATGAATATCTTCCATCTGTTCATCATACTTTCTACAATGTCTATGATGACACCCTCTACATTAAAATATTTAAGTGATTCTATTACCCATTCATGATTTACTGAGTCATATGCTTTCTTAATGTCATAATATGACTCTACATATTTTGGGTATTTCTCTTCTTTTTGCTGCTTTAACATATAACTGTTAATTAATCCTTCTTTATCAGCAAGAGATTGCAATTTACATCATAATTGATTTTTACTAATTTTTAATGATCACTGTTCATGTTAATTCTATTGTGAATCTTCTCTTTCAATATGGAGGTAAATACTTTCATTATTACATTTGTACAACTGATAGGACGATAATTAGTGACATCGTTCCTATCACCTCATTTGTGGATTAGTATAGTTCTTCCACTTACCATGTCTAGAGTGATGTTTTCGGGGAAGTTTAACAATTCATTGAAGATATTAAGAATGGAATTTCTTGATGATGATATTCTCTTCCAATAATACCCATATATAGTGTCAATACCTGGTGCTTTCCAATTACTTATTTTCATCAGGCTTAAATTTAAATTATCTAATATGATGATGATACTATCATAATTTCTGTATCTTTCATTCCACGAGGTGATTTGTTTTATTTTCCAATGTTCCTTATTTAATATCACCTGTGTTTCATATAACAATTTCCAATATTCTAAAATAATATCGTTATTTGGGTATATTTCATTTTGTGGGTCTTTCTTCTTTATTTTGATTTTGTTATTAGAATCAAACATAATTTTATTTGTATTGATTCTGACAATTTCATTCTTATTAAATTTAATTCTTTCTTTAATCATTGTCATCATATATTTTAGGTACTTTATTCTTTCTTGTGCTTTCATTTTAATTTCATCTGCATCTTGTTCATTTAATCTCATGATGCATTTTATTCTGTACCATTTCCTTCCCTTGACTAGATCTTCTAGTCTATTTATTTTCCTTAGGATTTCTTTTATTTCATCAAATTTATCTCCTATAAATTTATTTTGGAGATAGTAATACATACACATTGAAATCCTTTTCATATCTTCTTGCAGATTTTCTATTCTCCTGACCATACCCATTTATTATTAATTTCTCTTATTAATTTATCTGATTCTTTCATTTTCCAGTAGTAATTAATATTTACACATTTATCTATTTTCATTTCTTTAACTTGAGTGATGATAGAGTTAAGGTATTCATCATCAATATCAGTAGAGTTATTTTTTATGATAATGTTTTTTATTATTGGATTACACTCTACTTTCCCTTCTATGATGGAGTTCACTTTCATTTTAATATATATCTCAGTTATTTATTTTATTCTATGTGACTTTTTAATATTATTAATGTATTCTTTCTCATTATTTACATTAATGTTTACTACTTTTATTATGTTTTCTATTTGTTCTCATCTTAATTTCTTATTTAATTTCTTATTTAACCAATTAATTGCAAATCAATACAACACATCAATTAAAATTCTATTTGTTTGATTTGTTGTGTTTTCTTCTCTTCTTGATTGATTATTATTTCTTGTTTTTTGATACTCAGTGTTTTGCTCTCTTCTTCTTCTATTTCCAGAATTGTCTTTTTCATAGGGGTAGTTTTGTTCATTTGTATTGTCCCAGATGATGATGTTCTCAATATTGGTTGTGTATTTATCACTAGGGTCATTGTTTTCTTCTTCTCCAGTTCCTTCTGGGATAAAAAATTTTCGATATTTTCTTGTTGTTTTGATATTAATTGTTTTTGTTCTTCATTTTCTCTTTGTGTATGGTCTAATTCTTCTTTTGTTTTTTCTTCATCTCATAGTTTTGAATCGCACTTTTTTGATATACAGAGATTTGATTTCTTTATCTCTTATGTTCTTCTCTAGCAGCTCAGCACTCTTCTCCAGCTCATCAGCCCTCTTCTCCAAAGAACAAAAAGAATAAATAAAAATTAATTCATTATATTCTAAATAAATAAAATCAATCAAATAAAAATTTATTATTTCAATTTAATTTCTTCTATTTCTCTTTTATTTAAATCTTTTATTTAAATCTTTTTTTTTTCTTTTTTTTTCTTTTTTTTTTTAATACCAACACAAAATACAAACTATTTAAAACACAATTTTCAATTAAAATAAAAAATATTGAAAAATTTAATCATTCATTTCTCAATTTAATCATTTTATAACTATTTCTTAATTGATTTTTTCATACTCTCCTTTTCCAATTTAATTTTTATTTTCACTTTAATTTCATTCTCTTATGTCCTATAACTCTTCTTTGTGTTATCATTATGACCATTATATTTCTCACGTTTTTATCATTTTTCTTTCTATTCACCTTTTTATTGTATTTCTTTTACCATTCCTATTGGATACTTTATTACCACTTCGTCATTCTTCTCTATCCCTTCAGTGCTAACGTCTTGTTTGGTTTCTTTGCACTATCCAAGAACATTATACAATAACATTGATATGAAATTTGATATATTCCTTGAATTAAAAAAGGGTTTATAACAATATTAAATAATAATAATTTTATTAAAAACCTCATTTTATCTTTAATAAGTTCTCATAGCTGCTATCAGACAATGATGATCAATAAAGAAATAAAATGAATAAAACAAATAAAAAATTAAGACAGTGTTATTGTTATTTACTATGGTTGGTGGCAGTTTTATAAAACTCTTCATAGAGATTTGAATCTATCTGGTTGTATTCACCCACTAGCCTCCATACTGTATTTGAACATAAAATGCTATATGTTGAAAACGTTTTTAGGATAATTGCTATTCTTTTGTTTACTGGGTGTGTTTGAATTATACAATTACTATTGATTCTTAGCCATAAGAATTTAATAAGTAAAATGGCAAATTCATTTTTTCTAGTTATAATAGCATTTAAATTGATAAGTATTTCTTGGTTAGTTATCAACTCCTTTTTCCATCCACCAACAGCACCACCACACAATAATGGAAAGTCATAAGCATAACACAGTGTTGAATATAAATGGAAAATATTTTTTTGAACATTTTGAGGAACTAATAGAAATAAAGGATTAAAAATATCAATAGAAAGAGGAAGTTGTAATGAGTGCTTCTGGACTAAAAGAGTTATTGAATCTTTATGATAAATTTGAGTTGGAGAAGTGAATAACTGAACCAAGTCAATAGATGATTGAATAAAAAGTGTTGAATTTGGTTCAAAGGTGATACAATGTAATAATAATTGATAAATAAAGGGTTCATCAAAATGATGTTCCTTAAATTTTTTAATAAAAGATTTAAATCCATTTGTTTTTAACTCATAATTTAATAATTCAAAGATTGAAGAAATTTTAGCAATCGGATATTGATATCCAACACCCTGAGCAAAAGACATTAATGTTTGATATTCACAAGGAAGAGTTGGATTATCTCTCAAGGGGTATATTTCATTTTCAAAAGTAAAATCAATTTGTGGAATAAATTGATGATAAGATGATAGTCTAATAAATGATATTTGAATACACTCTGGAAGAATGGGTTGAATAACATTATTTATAATCTTTCTTTTATCTAATTCAATTAATAAAAGTCCAATAAGAATATCATAAAATTGATTGTTTAAATAAAGAAGTGTTGAATGTTCTTTGAGATAGAATGAAATGGTTTCTATAAATTTAAGAAGAAGTTTATTTGAAATTTGGTCAATAATTTTCCAAGATATTTCTACAACCTTTTTAACGTATTGATGAAGTGCTAAAAAAGATATATCCAGAGAGTCAAAGGTTATATTATTAGATAATATTTCATTTAATTTAATGATAAAATCAATATATAAAAAAAGAATATTGTCATCAATAAAATTAATAACTTCTGTTAATAATTGAACATTTGAGTAGAAAGAAGACTGGCACTTTCTTACAATTAATTTATGTTGACATTGAAACGATTGAACAGTTTGTTGAAGTTGAAGTTGTTGAATTAAAGTTTTAAGTAGTAATTTACACTGAGGATATGTTGTTGGAGTTAAATAAAATGGAGTAGTAAATAAATGGAGAAGTTTTATAGGTAATAGATTTTGTTCTATTAAAGTAAAACATGTTATTTGAAGTTGTGAATTAATGAATAAGAGTTCTATAATTAATGAATAATATTTCAAGAAGGGAAGGGTTTCTTGTTTTTTTAATAATTCTTTATAATATGAACAAAACTGAATAATTTCTTTTTCTTTTAAACATTCATGAATTATATTATGTACTTTATTAAATTGTAAAAATTTTAATAATGTTCTTAACACAATAGTTAATATTTCTTTTTTATCTTCATAGTGAATAAATAAATTTATACAATAATTATAAATTTCTAAGATCAATAACTTTATTCTATCTTTAATATTATTTTGTTTTTGAAATAATTGAATACTACCATTATGATGTTTACATCCTAAATAACCTTCAAGAGCGTTACCACACCAACAAATATTAATCTCTTCAACACTTTCGATTTCATGATTTTCATGTTCTGATGAATTAAAACAATTATTACAAAGAGTTTTATTGCATGTTTTACAAATTATTCCTTTACAAAGAGTTTTAAGACAAATCGCTTGTTTTTGGTTTTGACAAATCTTTTCAAAGTCTTCAAAAGAAGCAACTTCACATTCAGTTAAAATAAATATTTCTAAGTTTCTTTCATTATAATCCTTATTATTCTCTAAAACCTTCTTCATTTTTACAAATAAATTAAATTATTATTTTCTATATTTTTTTTAAGTTCTTAGTCTCAAAAATAATAATATTGGCAAACAAGAATAATATAATTAAAATTACTTTAAACTCATTACTTAATTATCTTCTCTTATAATTTGTTGATTCTTTTTAAATTGAAGTTCTTGAATTTTTGATTCAATTTTCTCATTTAATGAGATCTCATCTTCAAACTTTTTAACAAGCTCATAAAATTCAGATTCTTTTCTAATTACTTCTTGTAATTTTATTGAAATATTTTGTGAATTCTCTTCACTTTGTTGTAATGATTTTTGTTCTTTCATTATCATCCCTTCTAAAGAATTATTAGCTTTGATTATTGATTCAAGTAAAGGTTGAAGTGTTTTATTATTTTTGACTCCTTCTATTCCTTTAGTAATATTTCCTAAATTGTTTAATTCACTTTTGTATAAATCTTTTACTTCTGTCATGTAATTATACATTTCATAATAATAACGAGTATCTACTAAAGTAACTGATGTTTGTATTGATAAATAAATAAGTTGTTTTTGATATTGTTGTAATTCAAATTTACTAGGAACAGCATCAATTTCTTTTTCAATACGTTTTAAATTTCTTTTACGTTCTCCAAGAGCATGTTCTAACAATTCTATTTTAGCCATTTCTTTTTGGTGTTGTGTTTCAATCTTTTCAATTGCAGCTAGTTTTTCTTTATCTTCAATTGATGATTTGATATTATTAATTGTTTCTATATAATAATCATGTTTTATTTTGCAATCTTCTTTAAATTTTCTAATTTCCTCTTTAACTTCTTCAACTTCATTTGCTTTAATAACAATTTCTTGTTCCTCTTTTGCTTCTTCTTTCTCAGTATTTTGTATTTCAATAATTTGTTCTTCTATTTCTTCTTTTTCTGATTCTAAGGCTTCAACAGTACTTCTCATTCCTTTAAAAAATTTCTCAGCTTTATCTTTCTTTTCTTTTAACGTTTCTAATTCTTTTCTTTTTTGAGTAATTTCTTCTTCAAGTTGTTTAGTTTCATCTTCATCTTCATCGGTAATTGAATTTGTTTTCTGACTATCATTACTTTCTTCCATACGATAAACAACTACAAGTTCTTCAGGTTTATAAAACTTCTTATAAACAAATTCTGCATAATTTCTGAGAGTATCTCCCATGATTGTTCTTGCCTCTTCTACTTTTGTCATTAACCATTCTACAACGGGAAGTAATACTCCAAAGTCAAGACCTGTAATTTGATGTGGTTGTAATAATCTTGGACATTTCATTTCTTTTAATGCACTACATACTCCTTCAGCTACTTGAAGCTTTAATCCCATAGTTGCATATTCAGAGTATGCAAGCCATAAGTCTATTTCTAATGGATAACATGTAGCAGAAATTCCCCATGCTAATCCACCTAGTATTTTGTCAAATGGAAGTAAATTCATCAAACGAACACGATAATACCCAGAACTTAATAATAAATCAGATATTTTCTTAAAAAGTCTTTCATTGTCAGGATCAAAACTTGTCATTTTCATTAATGAATATCCTTCCATCGTTTGTTTAATTAAAACACTTAAATTTAAGTTCTTTCAGTTTTTTTTATTCTTTTTTCTCAAAGAACCAAATGATTTAAAAAAGATTTTAAAGATTTTTTTAATTGAGAGAATTAATTAATTATATCATTAGATTCAGGAATTGAAGAATATTTTTTCACAATCCATTGTGCCATGGAAGAACTATATAATAAATGTTATGA